CATCATCCATCCATCCATCCATCCATCCATCCATCCATCCATCCATCCATCATCCATCCATCATCCATCCATCCATCCATCCATCCATCCATCCATCCATCCATCCATCATCCATCCATCCATTCCTGCCCATCCCAGATTCCTGCCTGCCCCCCCCAGTTCTCCCAGTTGCGGGCACTGGGCTGGGGACAGTGACACCACTCCTTGTGCCCAGTGCCTCACTGGGACCCCAAACTGGGACCCCAAATTGGGACCATAAACTGGGATACCGAACTGGGACCCTAAGCAGGGACCCCAAACTGGGACCCTAAACTGGGACACCGAACTGGGACCATAAACTGGGACCCTAAACTGGGACCCCACAGTGTGAACCTAAACTGGAGCCCTAAACTGGAACCCTAAACAGGGACCCTAAAAGGGGACCCCAAAGTGGCACTCCGAACTGGGACCCCAAACTGGGACCCTAAACAGAGACCACAAACAGGGACCCCGAACTGGGACCCCAAACTGGAACCCCGAGGTGGGACTCCAAACTGGGACCCCAAACTGGATCCGGAGCTGGGGGTCCTGCTGCCCCTTCCCCATATTCAGGGGATGTCCCCACCCCTCCGAGTGTCACCGCCAGGCCCCCCCCCGAGCTGTGCCACCCCCCCCTCTGTCCTTCCTGCCACCTTCGCTGTCACCTCCGGGAACATTTTGGGACCCGCCTGTCCCCACCTGGCTGGCAGGGACACACCGGCGACAGCGCTTTGTCCCCGCATGGGTGGCCGTGCCGGGCTGGGCACAGGGGGGTGACAAACGCGTCCCTCGAGGGGACAAAGGCGACCAGCGAGAAGAAAGCGGGGCGGTTTTTCCTGGCAAAGGGACACGCGGGTGACACCCGAGCCAAGGGCTGGCGCTCCGCCCGGTGACCCGGGCAGGAGCCACCCGCGGGTGGCCGCTGTTGACAGCAAACACGGCGGGTGGCCGGGCAGGGCCAGCTCGGCTCGGGAGGGACCGGAGCCACCCGCTTGGGGACGAGGTGACATCCCGGCCAGGTGGCTTCCGAGCTGCCCGGCCCCGGCAGCGAAGGCACAAAGGTCACAACGGACGCCCCCGGTGGCAGCGGGGGCTTGGGGACAAAGTGACAGGGGATCGTCCAGCCCCGTGTGGCGCCGGCGCGGTGCCAGGTGTCCCGATGTCGCCGTGGGGTGGGGACACAGCGGGAAGGGCGCCCTGGCACCTCGGGAGTGTCACCACGGCTCCCCACGGGTGTCCCCTGCGTGGGGACACCTTCCCCGGTCGCGGTCCCCAGGAGGGGACAGCCCCGCAGAGCCACACTGTCCCCCTGTCCCCACGAGAGACACACGTGGCCCCTGTGCCACCCTGCCTGTCGCAGTGCCACCCAGCTGTCCCCTCTTGAAGCAGTGTCACACGCCCGTCCATCCTTGTCACCCCTGGCTGTGCCAGTGCCACCCCTCTGTCCCTTCCTGCCCCAGTGCCACCCACCCATCCCTGTCACCCCTGCCTGTCCCAGTGCCACCCACCCGTCCCTGTCACCCCTGCCTGTCCCAGTGCCACCCCTCTGTCCCTTCCTGCCCCAGTGCCACCCACCC